TTTGGGAGAAAATGGTTTATTTGACTTATATATATATCTTATAGTCCATCATGAAGGGAAGTTAGGACAGGAACCTGGAGGCAAGAACTGAAGTAGAGGATATGGAAAAACACTACTTACTGTCTTACACAGCATGTTTTTTATTGTAATCCTGGACCTCCTGCCCAGGGATGGTACTGCTTGCTTATATCTTGCAGGACCCTTCTACATCAGTCATTAATCAAGAAATTGCTTTACCTAGGCCTTTAGAAATGTATATATTTGTTTTATTTATTAGCGATTGAGTCTCATTGTGCAACTCTTACTACCCTTGAACCCACTATATCGAGCATGCTGGTCTTGATCACAGATCTTTCTGCTCTATTAAAGGTGTGTGCCACCTTGCCCACCCTATAGGCCAATTTTATAGTACATTTTCTCTATTGAGGTTCCCTAGATGAGACTCTACCTTGTGTCAAGTTGACAAAAACTAGTCAGCACAGGGCCCAATTTCATTTCCTGGCATGAAGTTAGCTACTATCAGGTTGAGATTTTATTTAATTGTTGTATTGTTTAAATACAAATACCCTTGGATTGGGGAGGGAGCTCTGAGGAACCAAATATAAGTTCCTGTGCAAGCTATGCAAGCCCTACCACTGAATAATATCCTAACCCTATAAAAATGTCTTAGTTTATGCTTTCCTAAGGAAAGTTTGAGTTTTGTACGTTTCCTTTTAAGTTGTGTACACTCAGATGTTAGCTTTCTGTTGTGTATATCAGACTACCTGGAATCATAGTTACCAAGTCTGTTATCTTAAAATTAACTTGTATCAAGGCCAGGCATGGTGTCACAGGACTTTAATCCCAGATTTTGGGAGGCAGAGACAGACAGGTGTCTGAGTTCGAGGCTAGCATGGTCTACTTATGAGTTCTAGGACTGCCAGAGCTACACAGTAAGACCCTGTCTTGAAAAAAAATCAACCAAGCAAGAACCTTGTATGAGATGTCTTGGTATGCAGTTGCTACTGGGTCTTCTGTTCTTATCTTACCTGCTGGAGCTCAAATGGATAGAATGTGGTATTCCCCATCTACTCATTGTCAGCTGGTAACTGCTCCAGTACCTAGATGGCTCCCGTCTCTTTCCCTCACAATGCTGCAGTTTAGTTTGAAAAGACTACAGGAGAGTTTCTCAAGGATGGCTCAGTTCCGTTTTTTAGAACTTCTTCTGATTAATTCAGGTCCTCTTGTGATGATCTACCTCCTGGCTAACTTAAAACCCACCATTGGAATCTTGATTACTCTGAAAAGCATTCCCACTTTGCTCCCCTCCCCCATATCAGTGGAATCTGCTCTATCAAGTAGAATGGGGAGAATTAGAGTAGTGAGAATTTACAGTGATATATAGGAAGCTTGCTTATCATATATTACAAATAAATATTTCTGTGTACTAATGTGAGGTTTTGTGCTGGTTTTGATCAAGCCCAGCAGTGGTTTTTATCATAGATATTATAGGACTTAGTTTCTGACAGAAGGAAACTATTGTAAATAGGAAAAGAATACATGAAAGCTATTTTTATGACAACAGGAGCCAAGAGTGCCAGTTTCTTTTTTGTTACTTATGATGAAATTCTATTATTTTTTTATCTGCATTGGTGTTTTGCCTGCATGTATGTCTGTGTGAGGGTGTTAGATTCCTTGGAACTAGAGTTACGGACAATTGTAAGCTGCTGTGAGGGTGCTGGAAATTGAACCAGTGTCCTCTGTAAGTGCAGCCAATGCTGTTAATCCCTGAGCCATCTCTCTATCCCTGATGATGGAAATCTTAAAAATCTCCAAAGGATCAAAGAATAAAGCTGACTCTGATTTCTATTTTACCAGCCAGGTACTTGTACTTGTGATTTGTAAGACTGTTTAGGCATGGTTGTTGACAGTAAGTGACTAATTAAAATACACTGCAGTTAAGAGCACTGTTTGCTCTTGCAAAGGACTTGAATTCAATTCTTAGTACCCACATGGCAGCTCACAACTTTATGTAATTCCAATTTTCGGTATCCAGTGTCCTCTTCTAGCCTCCAGGTTACTTGGTATGTGTGTGTGATGTGGGATAATGCTCTTGTATAGTATAAGGTTTTTTACTCATATTGGTTTAATGAAACTCTTGATTGTCCAGTAGCCAGGCAGGAAGTTTAGGTGGGGCTACCAGACCAGGAGAATTCTGGGAAGAGGAAGTCTATCTCAGTTGGTAGAGCATGAGACGCTTAATCTTGGAATCTTGGATGTGGGTTCATGCCTCACAGTACTTATTTGTGGAGCACTCACACAATGATACCATAACCACCCTGGTCTTCTATCCTGGAGGCGCAGGGTCTGCAATTCAGAATGCTGAGACCACAACCCAAGAGAGAGCCTCGGTGAGCCCTTCCTCTTCTTTACAAGGGGTCATGTCCATACACCTAAGCCACATCCTAAGGAAATTACTTCAATTCTATTGGTGGAACAACATGCCACTACATACGTGGTTCACAGACAGCCACAGACAAAACATCCATATATTTTTCTTTTAAAAAGGAGAACACTGCAAAGTTTACTTACTGTGGAAATAAAAGGCCTAGGAGAATTAATTATAGGTAGAGTACAAATCTGACAGAAGGAACAGCTCATTTGGGGAGACTTTGTGAAGTTCCTTATTGAATGGCAAGAGTGGCAGATACACCTCTAACCTGCTTTGGATTTGTTTTGTTGTTGTTTTGAGAAAGGGACTTGCTCAGTTCCGTGCTGAGCTCAGTTCTTGCTGTGTAAGACTTGTCTGGAACAGCCCTATCTCAGCCTCTAGAGTGCTATGACTATAGGCATAAGCTACTTGCAAGGCTGAACTTTTTTTCTTTCGCTATGCTGGGAATCAAATCTATGTTTTACTTTCAGATCAGTTATGTTCTAGTATTTGTTTGCTTTATAGCATTTAAATATCAGTGTAGTTGGCAACTTGCTTCTGTTTCATCAATGCCTATTTTCACATTTATGCTTATTTTCACATTTATTATCTATTGGTGGTAGTGTGTTGGTGTACATTCTAACCATGACACACGTGGAAGTCAGAAGACAAACTTTGGGAGTAGGTTCTCTTTCCCACCCACCAGATGGGTTTTAGGGATCTAACTCAGGTCATCAGGCTTTGTGGCAAGGGCCTCTATTCTCTGAATCATCTTGTTGGTGTTTGTTTCTTAATTAAAATAAGTTCATTGCAATTTTTTAAAAAATCTTTATAGCTTAGTTCCTTAGCCTGTGTGTGTGTGTCTTAGCTTTTAGAATACAAAAAATATTCCTTTATTCAGCAGTACATGCTCACAGGTGAAGAACATTAGCACATTGTGGTTTCAATACACAGATAAACTATATCCAAAGCATTTTGTGTAGTAAACAAGTACTTTTAACTTCTGGGTGGTGGTAGTGGGCCTTTGGCAATATATTATATTATTATTACATAAAGTCTTCTACCTGCATGCCAGCAGAGGGCACCTGATCTCATTCAAGGTGGTTGTGAGTCACCATGTGGTTGCTGGGAATTGAACTCAGGACCTTTGGAAGAGCAGTCATTGTTCTTAACCGCTGAGCCATCTCTCCAGCCCCTTTGGCAATATTTTTGTTCTTATCACTAATATGTATCAGGTTTATGACACACCAACAATGAAGTTACACATGGTCTAGAGATGACTGCAGCACGTTTTATAGTATTCAGTGTCATGATGCCTTTGCTTTCCTATCTAGCATCTTCTTGTAGTCCACCCTGAAAATTGTCCGTTTCCTTGCCACAGTGCTCTCTGCCAGTTATCAGATCATAGTGCTCAGTGTCTACTGTTATCAAAATACTTGCTATGTAATGATTTACTTGTTTCTTTTCTTTCTTCCCCCCTTTTCCTCCTCCTCTTGTAGCATATACTTCTTGAAGGTAGGAGACCATGTCTTTCTTTTTGTTTAGTGCCTGTCACCAAGGAGACTCTTAAATCTAATGCTGAGGGAAGGAATGAGGCAATGACTGTAAAAGCCAGACAGTGTTAAGGACATGATTTTTAGTGTGAGGACAAGCAAGTATTTATTTAAACTTGGAGTCCCCAAGGAGAATTTCATTGCCACAACATGGTGGAAGAGTGATGGTCATGCTTCTAAAATGCTACAGATTAAGTATATTCATAGAAGTTTAAGGATATTTAACTCACAGTCTAGCATTTTTAAGTAGCAGTTGTACTTTCAGGCTTAAGAGTTTGTCTTTGGTTTCTTAGGAAAGCCTCTAGTTTTCCATTGTTTCTGTTCTGCACAGTCCTTTTGTTACTGTTTGAGTTCCTTCCTTCCTTCCTTCCTTCCTTCCTTCCTTCCTTCCTTCCTTACACACACACCCACACCCACACACACCCACCCACCCTTGAGAACTGGAGGTTGATTTCTAGCTCAGGCTGCTTAGAACTTGGGATGTTCTTGCCTCAGCTTCCCTAATACTAAATGAACATAGCTAAAGTTTGTTGAATACACTGGAGATGCTATCCCCAGTTAAACATAAGGTTACTATATGTTATGTTATGCAGCCTTACAACTGAGAGTATAGAAATTTTACCATAAATATTGTCAAATCTTATATTTGTTACCATGGTCACTTGTAAGGTTTTAAAGTTGTAAAAATAAACTGAGGGGAAAAAATAGAGTTTTTTTGTTTTGTTTTTTTTTTTATCACTATCCTTAGGTGATTTTTTCCTCAGGTCTTCTTACCATGAAACCTGACCATTAGGGTTTTAGAGTTGATACCAATGAAAGAGATTATCAGTAGAAATTTGAGGAACAAGAACTTAAATTCCTGAGCTGCTACGTTTATCTCAAGTCGTTTTGTGTGGGAAGCTCCATTGCTAGAGGCAGTGTCTGCCTCCTGTATGTTTTGATGTTTAAAGTTACTTCCCCCCCTAGTCTTTCTGCTGACAGAATTATCAAATGCTACAAAACCCAGACTGCCCTTCATAGGCTTGATTCTCCTTATTGGTGTGGCTAGCCATGAACTATCCTTTTCTTCTCCCTCTTTTTCCCAGATATCTCCCGGGGCCAATTCATCACCTGTGCCTGGCCATCCTAACAAGGTGATTTGTGAAAGGGTGAGACTTCAGAGCCTGTTCCCTCTTCTCCCAAGTGATCAGAACACTACCCTTCAAGAGGATGCTCACTTCAAAGCTTTCTTCCAGGTTCTTATATGTTTACCCTTTCCCTACACAGGGCTGGAAGTCACACATTCTAGCTAGTTTCTAGGAAGCTTAACCAGACTTCTCAGTTGCCTCTTAGTTTCTTTTGTATGTGGGAATAGATGCTCTTCTTAGAGGATGCCTTCAGTATAACTTTTAGACAACTTTTCTGAAAATGTCTTCTCTTGAGCTACTGTTCATTATTTGACCACTTAATATTCTGTTTTTTAAAAAATCTTTTTTTGTCTTAATCATTTGTCCTAATCATTCAGTTTCTGTAGGAAAATAGAATATACTAAAATATGTGAGGTGTGTAAGAAAGGAAAAAATGAAAGCATGTGTTTTAAGCCATCATTACTTACTCGCTTGGTGCCCAGAATTTTAGTGATACATATTTCTGAGCAAGCACATAGGTATTTGCTTTCTGTACCTCTTGATGTTAAAAATTTTAATGTAAGATGAAAACTAGTACACATATTTAAACCATCATTGGATTAATGAGATTACTTCAGTCATAAGTCACTGGCTTCTGAACTTTGACTCTGTACTCCTAGAGAATCACACTTTAATAATGCAAACCATTATTACTGGAACTACAGAATAAGCAACATCTACAGAATGCTATTTGGTTTTTCGAGACAGGGTTTCCCTGTGGCTTTGGAGGCTGTCCTGGAACTAGCTCTTGTAGACCAGGCTAGTCTCGAACTCAGTGACCATATGCCTCTGCCTTCTGAGTGCTGGGATTAAAGGCATGCACCACCACTGCCCGGCTTACAGAATGCTTTTGAATGGTGTGCGTGCGTGCGTGCGTGTGTGTATAAATCCTGTTCAAAGTACTGACATAGTTGATGACCAAAACTAAATGTTTTCAATAGAAGCACTAATTTTATTTTTTTTTAAAGATTTAATTTATTATGTATACAACATTCTGCTTCCATGTATGTCTGCACATCAGAAGAGGGCAGCAGATCTCATAATGGATGGTTGTGAGCCACCATGTGGTTGCTGGGAATTGAACTCAGGACCTTTGGAAGAGCAGTCATTGTTCTTAACTGCTGAGCCATCTCTCCAGCCCTCATTTTTTGTTTTCTTTACAAGTGACAGGTTGGCACCTAAAACTGGTATTAAAGGAATACATTAAGTTTGTCATGTGTTATTTCTGTTAATACCTGTAGGTGATCCAGGGTGCTTTAGTCTGGTATTTGTCTTAGAATTTGTTCTGGATTCTCTGTTGTGTATTATGTTATATTTTTAACTCTCAGAATAAACTAGAAATCTTGTTCTAGTTAAGGAAATAGGCTTTAAAGAAGCTCACCAAGATGCACAGTTCATCTAATTACTGTTAGAGCAAGGGACTCACCTGATTCTTGCTGTGTTGTGTTTTCTGTATCATACTACCTTTAAATATCTACATGCATTTCTATAAACACATTTTATAAGCATTTAACAGATAACTGTTTGAGGAGGCCTAGTTGTCTGTGAATTGAATGTCATATGGACTACCATTTTATCTGTACACAGGGTTATCTGTACACAGAAGTTCTGTATTATTGGTAGCTGACCGATACTTAGAAATTTAAAGGCAGATTTGGTAGGAAGCACCTTTAATCCTAGCACTCCTCGGGCTGAGGGAGGTGGATTTCATCTATACTTACACACGCACACACGCACGCATGCACGCACATGCTGTTTGGTCTACATATCGTTTCATCTATATATTGTTCCCGGACAGCCTCAAAAAACACTGCCTCAAAAAACAAACGAAACCCAAAGGAAGGAAGAAAAGAAAGGGAAAGAACTGACTTAAAGTTGGGCATAGTCTCACATGCATTTAATCCCAGTTTGGGAGGTAAAAACAGGTTGATCTCTGAGTTGGAGAGCAGCCCGGTCTACATAGTGAGTTTCAGGCCAGTCAGGGCTCTTTTCTACCCAAAAAGAAAAAAGTCTCTAAACAATACACTTTAACTACTGCCACTAGTAAATAGTAATTTTTCGTTTTCTGTGTTCTCCCTTAAAGGTTTGGGGTATTAATAGTATTAACTTTAAACTTAGTAATTACAAATGCAGTAGATTAAACCCACATTTTAAAAATAAAACAAAGTTAGAGCTGACTGTACTTAGTGTTTTTTTTTTTAAGTTGTTCGCAACTGAACCTAGAGTTTTATCCATGCTAGTCATATCCTATAGTCTCTAATTAATCATGATATACCCCCTAAGTAGTCATATGTTATACCCTCAAATTAACTAGTTACATTACTCACTCTAACTAGTCATATGGTATACTCTCTAATCCCCAAGGTTTATTGAAAAGTAAAACTTTGAACAAGGTTTATTGAAAAGTAAAGCATTATAACTTTGGTTACCATGCTTATTTAGTCTGTCCTATACCTTTAGAGAAAGGCCTTCACTGTGTTTTCTCCAAGGGAAGACCAGAGATTTTCTCTGCTTAGTTACTGCCTGTAGTTTTTCTGGGTGAGAAAGTATATTGATGTTAGGAAGTCCTGAGGAGATACTGATAGATTAGCTAATTCTCAGGTCAAAATGAGTGTCATTTGTTAGTTCCAACTATACTTCTCCCCTAAAAAACCTGGCTGGCTGCAGACATTACTCAACATTCTCAGTGTTTAAGAACATTTACTGTTCTTGTGAGCAGTGGAGTTTGGATCCAGTACCCACTGAAGACAGCACACAGATGCTTGTAACTCCACCTGTAAGGGACTTGAACTCACACTTCAATAAATATAAATAAGTAAATATAAAATCTGGTTACCACATGAGAAGGAAATCCTCAGAGAGTCATTCCCTTACTATGTTCTCTTTTCTTTCTTTGGCTTTTCTTAGATAACTGCTTTGTAACTTTTTTTTTAACTTAATTTTTTTTTTTGATTCTTTGGGAATTTCACATCATGCACTGAAATCCACTCTTTCCCAGCCCTTTCATGTCCTACCCCACCCTTTTAGCCCCCCCCAACAAAAGAAAATTTAAAAATAAATTTCCCTCTATGTTTCCTGCCTCTCCATATTGGGAGCTGCAGTGTATCATGCACTATACCCTTTTGTCCAAACAGCTTTACTTGCAAATGTTCCTTGCAATGAATTGTTGTCTTGTTCTGGTGCATAATCAGTATTGGACCCTCACCAGAACTTTTCTCAGATGTCCTGCTGTTGCCCCAGTCGTGGAGAGCCTGTGGCTATGGTTCTGCAGGCCCAGTCCCTTCATGTGCTCCAGCAGGTCATAGATAAGGGGTAGATGTTGGGGTGGGCCAACTCAAAACCCTATATGTGTGCCTGGGTGGTCAGTTCTGGCTTCCATCAGGACCACCTTATTTGCTTTCTTTCTAAAAGCTATGTTTTGTTTTGTTTTGTTTTTGTTTGAAGATTTTATTTGTGTGTGTACAAGAGTGTGAGTACGTACATGGACACTGGATCTATGACAGGGTTACGAGCCACCTACCTGGGTAATGGGAGTCAAACTCTGGAAGAGCATTTTGTGCTCTTAAGTGCTAAGCCATCTCTCCAGTCCTACCTTTCTTTGTTGTTGTTGTTTGTTGTTGTTGTTGTTGTTTGGTTGGTGGGTGGGCTATATTTTGTTAAAATTTTGAGACAAGGACTTGCTATATTGTTCAGACTAGCCTTGAATTTGTGGTGGTCCTGCCTCTGCTGCCAGGCTCAACTTTTTTTTTTCCTTTTCCCTCTCTGTTTCTATTTATTTATTTATTTATTTATTTATTTATTATGTATACAGTGCATGCCAGAAGAGGGCACTAGATTACATTACAGATGGTTGTGAGCCACCATGTGGTTGCTGGGAATTGAACTCAGGACCTCTGGAAGAGCAGCAGTCAGTGCTCTTAAGCCCTGAGCCATCTCTCCAGCCCCTCCCTCTCTGTTTCTAAGAACTCCCCTATAGCCTCCTTTAGGTGAAAAATAATTATTTTTATTGCAAGCATGGAGTTGGGTATATGGTTCATTATAATAAAATAATTGAGCAGAGGAAGTAGTACTTTGATTCCTTACTCTTGTTTCTAACAGTTTTCACTAGCCTAGAGACAAGGAGGCTTAGGTTGGCAGGGGTCTCCAGAGTTCCACTGGTGTCTGCCTTCCAGGCACTGGAATTCCACATGTGTGCACCATACTTGCCCTCTTAAAGTAGTTCTGGGGCTCAAACCCAAGTCCTAAGGCTTATACACTAACACTTTAGTGACTGGGCTGTCTCCTTAGCCTATCACCAGTGTTAATGAACAAAAGGCTTTACTAATTTTGTCATCTTTGTGCTTGTTTTCATTGTGTTGATGCAGAGGTCAACCTTAGTCCTCTAGTGCCTTGCCCCTTATCTTTTGACTTGGGTCTCAGTGGCCTGGAACTCAACACAGTAGGTTACACTGGCTAGCCAGTGAACTTCAGGGACCTTACTTTCTCTATGTCCATCCTCAGTGCTGGGAATCAGCCTTGCTTCTTATGTGGCTTTTGTGGATAGAACTCAGGTCCATATGGCAGGTGTTTAACCTACTGAGTCATCTCCCCAACCTGCTTCCTGTTACCTTTGCTTGTTTTATACTACACCTTTTAGTTGCAAACAAAGCAAAGAAAAAAACTTCATGCTTTGAAGGTAAAACTTTAGATTTTTTTGTGCATTGTTGACTTTTTGTAATTATGTATTATCTGTTTGAGAACTAGGGCTATATAATGAAATCTGTTTTCATTCAAGAGTATCAGAGCTATACATCAAAATACAACCTGTTAGGTGAAAGAGAATAATTTCATACACCATGTGTAAAAATAAGGGATAGTTAGCCTCACCAAGAAAAACATATTGTAAGTATATCTGAGCATAGTTTGACTTGAGCTTGTACAGCATTAAATGAGATAATCTGTAGAAGTCATTTTGTAAACTGTATTGTGATCTGAATAGAAAATTTCCTACTTTCCCAGGCTTTTGTTTCCATCCATCTTAAAATGTAAAACAAAATAATAAGTAAATAAGTTACCCTTTACTGGAAAATTACTCTTCTGTATTACTGTATTACTTTTCTGCAACTCTCACATTTATGTAAAATAGATAAAATTGAGTGAGTTTGTTGTTCCCGGGGTATGTTTTTTTTTTTTTTTTAGGTAAAACCAGAAACCTCATATTTTGTTAAGTATCAGACTTGTAGAGAAAGTCTGGGAGTTTGAAGGAGAATTAGAGACTTTTAGATCATGCTCCGCTTGATTTAAGATAAAGTTCTGAATAAAACTGGAAGAAGCCAAAGTTTATTTTCTTGTTGCTTCAACAAAATACCCGACTAGGTCAGGCAGGAAACCTGATTTTAGCTCACAGTTTGAGGTTAAGTCCATTGTGGCAGTGGAAACAGGAAGCAGCGGGGTGCCCCGAATTCAGAAGTGTCTCCCTTTTTTGGTTCAGTGTAAGACCCAAGCCCATGGAATGGGGTCACCATAGTTAGGATGGATCTTCTCACCTCAGACATGCTTACAGGCTTGATTCCATAGTCATTCTCTACCCCGAAGCAGTCAAGATGAACCTTCACACCTCTCCCAACACAAGCTGATTCCTTCCTCCCTTGGAATGAAATCTATGAAAAGTAGAGTGGTTGCTAAAGTCAGGTGCATTTTAGTCCTCAAGTAGAATGTGGAACCTGTAGCTTCTGTTTGATGTTCATTATTAAACTACATGTATGCCCTCCTGCCTCCTTTTCTTCCGTGGATTCCTAATTTGTACCAATGTTCTGTACAATAACATTTAAATTGTTGACATCTTGTACATTGAAAAGTTAGCCCACTGTTACAGTAAAGAATTTTTCAAAAAGACAGTCCCTTCTATCTTAATTCAGTATTTTGTGGAGTTTGGTTCTAGTAGCATCAAGTATCACTGGGAATCATTTCAGAAATAGCAATTCTTTCTGGGTAGGTGGGGCACACCTTTTTAATCCCAGCACTTAGGAGGTAGAGGCAAGTGGTTCTCTGTGAGTTCAACGCCCAGCGTGGATTACTTAGACACTGCCTTCAAAAACAAAAATGTCTGTACTGGGGTACCACATAAACTGCAGCACAGGAGGCAAGAGGACTAGAAGTTCAAAGTCATTCTTAGCTACACAGCAAGTTGGAGGCCTGCCTGGGCTACTTGGCAGTAATCTTGCTTTTGTGCATGTTTAATGTTTGGGGGCTCTCGGAATATAAAAAACTGGCTCTCGTTGTGAACATACTGTATTGTGTATCATAATTGTGCATGACCTTATTTATGAGCTAAATAAATGAATGGAAAAGAAAAAACTGGCTCTCTTAATGAAATAAAATTAAAACAAGTATATTTAAATAATATCATTAAGAGAATGTAGGTTAGGTGGTATTTTGGTGATACACCTGCTAAATAATTGGAAAGGTCAAATGTAACCTTATCTCTTTCAGAATATGACATTGTTGGGGCTTGAAAGGTGGCTCCCCAGTTGAAAGCACTTGTTGCTCTTACAGAGGACCTGGGTTCAGTTCCTAGCCACCTACATGACTGCTAACTATTTAACTCTGCTGTCCTCTTCTGGTCTGCACAGGCATTGGATGCACATGGTGCACAGCCACTCAGACATAACACCCATACACATAAAATAAAGAGAACTGTTTTTTAAAAAGTTAATGTTGTAGTATGTATCCCTGTATATTTTGCTAATGTTTGGTGTATTTGTGTTTACCACAAATAAAACCAACTTATTTTGTAAACCACCTGAAAGTATTCTAATGCCTAATAATTAGAACTTGGAAGTGTAGATCAGAAAAAGGAACAGTTCTTCCAAAAAACATAGCCCTGTCAGATTTCAGCTAATTTGGAATTTTGTCAGTTTTAGTGAGACTTAATTGGGAAATTAATTGGTTGGGGAATCCTGAAATTAGAAACAATTACATGACCATGTGACTTTTATAGCTACAAATTTTATACTGTCATCTTTGAACATTGGAGGATACTCCCAAAGTGCTTTGACATTCTAAAAAGGATCATTGATCTTGATCAGTTGACTCTGCTCTATATAAACTTTATTTTGCCCATGTAACTGTCACAGAAGAAATAACTATTTTAACAGCCCCCAAAAGAATGGTAGAGATGTGTGATTTAGCATCGAATTTGGGGCCTACTCAGGAGGAGGTGAGGACCTGTCCCTAAGCAAACTTGATGACGTTGCTACCTAAGGGATAATGGCATGTCTCAGGTGGGTTAGGACTTCTAGAAAGTTAGGTACTATGTAAAAGTCAGCGCCTCTGTTCTAGACTCTATATGTTGTTATCTAACATGTTGGTTTTCAGACATTTCATTTTTCATTTATATGTATTATCTGTGCAACTCTTTTCCTTTTGCCCCTGCCCCTACATTTCTTAATTTAGGATTTTTAATTTGGATTGGTAGTGCAATGTATATCCTTTATTTTTTCATGGCAAATATATTTTTAAATACATATAGCATATGCTGTAATGTGAAATTCTTACCTCATTTTATTCAGTTGATCATTTTTGTTGCGTTGGCAGAGTGAAGATAGTCCAAGTCCTAAGAGACAGCGCCTCTCTCATTCAGTCTTTGATTATACATCAGCATCACCAGCTCCCTCACCACCAATGCGACCATGGGAGATGACATCAAATAGGCAGCCCCCTTCAGTTCGACCAAACCAACATCATTTCTCAGGGGAACGATGCAACACACCTGCACGCAACAGAAGAAGGTTAGTTGATTACTGTTTATTTCTCTACTTTCCTTCCACTGGTAGTTTTATGGATATTCTTTAGTGTCAGAAAGCATAGTTTTGTAGACATTTTATAAGCATATTAGTACATGCACATGTGTATATTCATGCACAAAATCATTACAAATTGTTTAGGTGTTTATCTTCGTTTATAAAGAGTTTACTAAGCTCTTCATTAGTAAGTGAAAAGACTTGAGAGTAAAGTTGTCTAAAATTAATCTATGCCATTATATATACATTTAGCTATCTTATGATTTAGGAGTGATTATGAAGCTAGACTACAATTTAAAGGTGGATTATTTACCCAGTATCCACAAAGTCCTGTATTCAGTACTCCCCAACACACAACACACCCTTCTTATAGGCTAGTCTAAAATCCAGATAACTGAAAAATGAGTTGTATACTTCAGAACTATAAGAATACATTAGAGCATAGAGATGACCTACTTCTGCCCTTCTAGTATTCTCATATCTTAACAGCTGTTCTTTGTTGGATTTTTGTTTTTGTTTTTGTTTTTTACAAAACAAGTGTGACGATGTTGGGATGAAATTCAGTTCACCTTTTCAGTAGAGCTTAGTCCTTGCCTTTCCTTCTCAGAAGAGTTCATTTCTTCCTCAGCTCCTTGTCCTTTAGTTGCCAGAGATCACTTTTATTCCAAGGAAATCCGTGTCTCATTGTGCTGAGGTACCTGTTTCCATGTACACAATAACAATAATCAGAGGAACAAATAAGTTAGGAAAGTGTTATGAACTAAATGGTTCTTGTCCCTACACAGAGAGCTCATGTATTGAAGCTTTAACCCTCATTATAGTTGTCTTTGGAAATGGGACTTGTGAGGAGGTTGTTGAGGTTGACTGAGGTCATAGGATGGGGCCCTTGTCTAATAGGGTTCATATTCTTATAAGTAGAGGCATCAGAGAACTCACCCTACCATGTACAGACATGATGATAAGGCACAGTGTCTACAAGCCAGGAACAGAGAGAGCTCTCATGAGAACACCATCAGTTAGTTACACCTCGATCAGAAACTGGTAGCCCTAGAACTTTGAGATAATAAAGTCCTGTTCGAGATATCAGGTTATGATTTGTTACAGCATTCTGAGATTAAATAGATCTTCAAACCGCCATTGACCTCCCAAATCAGTCAAAATAAATCCATGTCAGAGTTATGTATAGACACCTTTTAAATACCCAGTACTATACATTAGGCAATTACATGGAACTATTTAAGTAAAGTGATGAGTGGATACCATGCAAATTATTTTATAGCTATTAAATATAAGTATGAAGAAATAGGATTGTCTATAAGCATTATAGCTTAAATACCTGGCTGTATATAGTCTTTTCCTATTTTATGGTGTACTGTTTGTTGTGCATTCAGAACATAGAAACAAATGTACAGTCAAAAGGATAACATGTACCAATTCCTGGGTTAAAAAACTGGCCTCTCATAAACTGCCCACCCACACTGCCATGTCATGCCATACTATGCCATGCCATGCCTTCTTCCTTCCAAGGGACTAAATTGTTAGTTTATGGATCCCCATGTTCATTGTAGTTTTTAATATATATATACCTTTTTTTTTTTTTTCCTTCGAGACAGGGCTTTTATGTGTAACCCTGGCTGTCATGGAGTAGACCAGACTGGCCTTGAACTCACAGAGATCCTCCTGCCTCTGCCTCCCCAGTACAAGGATTAAAGGCATGTGCCATCACTGCCCAGCAACCAATATATATTCTTAAAACAATACAGTTTGGGATTTTGTTTTCATTTAGATGTATTCTTCTTTGACTTTGTTAAGCATCCTGTGTTTATTGTTGATGGAAACATACTATTTTTACTGTGGTATAATTTTACATTAAAGTATGACAATTTATCCACCTATAGTCATATCTAGATCATTATTACTATAAAGAGTACTATTAGGAACCTTTGCACACACATCTCATTTAAAGGTACAGAAGTTGCACCAGATAATAACCCAAGATAGGAAATGGATGTCAGGGTGTGTCTACAGATGAGATAGTAACTAGTTTTTGTTTCTAAATTTGCAAAAAAAATCATGTTCTTTTCTCATGGCAATACAGAGGAGTGGGAGACACTTAACACCCATAAAAACAATACTATGAATCACAACCCAGCAAGTACACATGATAAACACTATGAATAGATGAGAGGAAAGTGCTTACTTGGGTTGCCAAGAAAGCTCAGAGTAAGAGTATTTGTTGCCAAGTCTGATAACGTGAGTTTGATCCCCAGGACCCATACAGTAAAAAAACGACCCATGAACTTCGAAAGGTTGTCCTCTGATCTGCACAAATACACTGTGAAATTCGGCACAACCCCCACCCCCAATAAAAAAGAGAAATGGTAGCTTTTCTTTATGGAACAATTCCATTAATAAGTGTAGAAATGAAGGTAATAGGAAATACCCATGAGTAACATAGTGATCCTGTCAGAACCATGCATGTTAAAATTTACTGGTGAAGTTTATATTTAAATTGGTTGATTTTTAAAACTGATGGGGAACCATAGCAATTTATTACCTCAGCTTACCTTAGCATATATTATTTATAGGTAATAGATAATACAGAATCCTGATTAGTAAACATTATAGTAATGACCTTCTTTTTGTTGTTTACCCTATTATAGTCCGCCTGTTAGGCGTCAGCGAGGAAGAAGGGATCGACTATCTCGACATAATTCCATTAGTCAAGATGAAAATTATCACCATCTCCCTTATGCACAGCAGCAAGCAATAGAGGAACCTCGAGCCTTCCACCCTCCGAATGTATCTCCCCGTCTGTTACATCCAGCTGCTCATCCACCCCAGCAGAATGCAGTCATGGTTGACATACATGATCAGGTATAGTAACAGAATGCCAGTTTAATGGGATTCACTGAATTTTTTTTGTTGTAGGTTTCTTTAATTCCTAAAATGTAACTAAGTTCTCCATTCTTTTTAATAAAGGAAATTTAACCAGATGTTGTAGCACATACCTTTGATCCCAGTACTCACAAGCGAAGTCTGTGTTTGAGCCAACTGGGGCTACAGTGATACCTTGTCCCCAAAAATACATGAATAAATGAAAAAAAATTTAAATTCTACACAGGTTAAAATTAATATGAAAGAAGAATCAGTCTTAACAAATGCTTCAAAGAAAATCATAAAATTGTTGAGAAATTTAAAAGAAAACTTATGCAAAAGGTAACATTTGACTTGGAAGATCCATTTTTGTTAAACTTGTTGGTTTTCAGTTAAAGCATAGATTGTGTGTAGTTACAAATACAATAGATTTTCAGTATAATTTGAAAAGTTGATTCTAATTTTTATGCCCCCCTTTAAATCTCTAATAATTGATAGCAGAAAGAAGCAAACTGTTACTAGTTGTTTTTATACCCCCCCCCTTTTTTTTTTCTTTCTTTGAGATAAGGTTTCACTCTGTAGGCCAGGCTGGCCTAACTCACAAGAGATTCACCTGCCTCTGCCTCCCTAAGTGCTGGGATTAAAGGCATGCGCCGCCACCGTAGGCTTGTTATTGTACTGCTTTCTTCTTCTTCTACCCCACATGTCTGTACATCGCATAACCACTTTCTGCTTTGCCTTTTAAGAAAAAAGTTGATGGACTTACCCCTTGGCATAAAGCTTCAAGCAAATGGTTCTCTCATATGATTTTGGAAAAAAATATTAATTTTATATGTATGGATGTTTTGTCTGCATGTATGTGTATATACTGTATGCATGTCTGGTGCCACGGGGGCAAGAAAAAGGTGTCAGATCCTCTGGAACTGAAATTACAGATGGTTGTGAGCTATCTATGGGTGCTGGAAATCAAACCTGGCTTCTCTGCAATAGCTCTTAACCACTGAGCCATCTCTGAAGCCCCTGAAAATGATTTTTAATTGGCTGAATAGAAACAGGTAGGCACATGAAGCCAAGCCCGACCATCTAAGTTCAATCCCCGAGACCACATGGTGCAAGGAGAGAACCAATTCCTGCCAGTTGTCCTCTGACTTCAGAATGTACCTTGAGCATGTGTGTTTTCAAACATAGGCACATACAAATGTAATAATAATAATAATGAGATGGCTCAGTAGATACTGACCCTGTCCCACAAATTTGAAGAATGGAATTAAAATGTATATAAAAGTTGGTTGAGCAGAGTGGAGACTGCTTGCAATCCCAGAGGTGGAGATAACAGATTGCTGGGAAAAGCTAGCTAGCCCAAGTTGAATCAGTGAGCTTCAGGTCACCAAACATGGTTATGAGAAGATATAAAGAAGATGGGTCATGAGCAAACAGTGGAGGCTATGGAAAACAAACTCTAAATGTTAGTAACCTATGCCAAAAAATGTTTAACCTCTCTAGTTAGAGAAATGCAAATTTAAATCAAGCTTACTATCTACCCATTTCCCACTCTGATTTGCAAGCATGTTAGTATTACAAATCTGAAGAGAGATACTACGAATTGGGTCCTTTACTGTTGCATTGTGATTTACTTCATGCAGCCTTTTAGGTGATTAGATGATAACTTTACATTTTTGAGCATGGGCCTAGAGAGATGGTGGAGGAGTTGAGTGCTTTCTGCTCTTACAGAGGACTTGAGTTTGTTTCTTTTGCACCTAATTTGGATGGTTTAAAACTGCCTGTAACCCCAGTTGCAGGAGTTTTGACAACCTCTGGCCTTCACAGACACCTGCACATAACCTCAGACAGGCACACATAAATACATACACGCATTCAAAGGATAAACAAATCTCTTTTTTAAAAATCAGAAATATAGTCCCATCTCTTTTTTTTTTTTTTTTTTTTTTTTTTTTTTTTTTTTTTTTTTGAGTTGTGTTTGTATTGGCAAAAGTGTAATGACAGTTTGAGTACCTACATCATGATGACTATTAACAAGCAAGTATGCTTGAAATATCTGGTTATCCTCAAAAAAAAAAAAATGAGGGGAAGGTATAGATGGCTACAATATTTGGTGGAAAGGGAAGATTGGCATTACTTATGTTTATGGGGTGCTGATAATTGAATACAGGGCTTTGAGCAAGATAATTGAATACAGGGCTTTGAGCAAGCTTGCTTACATTAAGCTCTGTATCCCCAAGCCAGATTTAATTTTTTAATATCACCCTTGTTTCGACTGTCGCAACTAAATAAAAATCTTTTTGTATTGGATATGAACAAACACACACACACACACACACTCACTCACTCTTGGGCTAGAGAGAGGGCTCAGCAGCTAAGAGCACTGGCTGTTATTAGAGAGGGAAGACTCAGGCTCAGTTCCTGTGTCCAGATTGACAGCTCACAGCCATCTGTAACTCCAGTTTCAGGGGATCTGTTGCCTTCTGGCTTTAGTGGCACTTCACTCACATGGTCCACAGACAAATGTGCAGGCAAAACACCCATACACATAATTTCAAAACAAAACGGAATAGATCTTTTCAAAAACCACAAGCTTTTAAACTTTTTGGTTTTTCGAGACAGGGTTTCTCTGTGTAGCTTTGGAGCCTATCCTGGCACTCGCTCTGGAGACCAGGCTGGCCTCGAACTCACAGAGATCTGCCTGCCTCTGTTTCCCAAGTGCTGGAATTAAAGGTGTACGCCACCAACACCCAGCCAAAAACCACAAGCTTTAATTTTTATAAAAGATTTGTTTTGAGGATTTTTGCTCTACAGGTAGGCTGAAAGAGTTAATATAGCAGTCAGTTGGTATTTTTAGATTTATCTATTTTATACACAAGTGTTTTGCCTGCATATATGTATGCACACCGAATGCATATTTGGTGCCTGTGGATGTCCGAAGAGAGTGTTGGTTCCCTTGAAACTAAAGTTACTAATGGTCTTGAGCTACCATTTGGTGCTGGACACTGAGTAGGAGTCTTCTGCAAAAATAACAAGTGCTATTAATCACTGAGCGATCTCTAGTCCCTCATTTTCAGTCTTTGTGAAAGGGTTTAACTCTAGTTCCGTGAGGATAATGTATAATCTTCATAAATTATCTTTCCTATACAATATTCTGGTTGAAGCTACTAAAGGAAGCAGAAATGGCATCACAAACCTGTAATCCCAGCACTCAGGAGGTGAAAGCAGGGAGGGGATCAGGAGCTCAAGGTCAAGTTGGCAACATAGTGAGAGCTTAACTTGGACTACATAAAGATTGTGTCTCAAAAAAGAAATATGGAGAAAGTACATTGTGAAAATCTGTATAACAGATAAGGGAATTAGTAAATGTTTGTTTGGGCAGGGTCTCATTTGGCCCAAGCTTTCTTTTAATATACACTGTATGAGTAAAAAATGACCTTGGATTTCTCATATTCTTGTCTCCGCCCCCCAATGCCAAGATTACATGTTTGAGCGACCATGCCTATTTTATGTGGTGCTGGGGTCAAACTCAGGAACTCATATATGTCAAGGACCCTACCAACTGAGCTTCCTTTCCATGCCCTAAATGTTAATTTTTGTTTTATGAAACAGGGTTTCTCTGTGTAACAGCCCTGGCTGTCCTGGAACTTGCTCTGTTGACCAGGCTGGCCTTAAACTCACTGAGATCTACCTGCCTCTGCCTCCCAGGAGCTGGAACTAAAGGCGTGACCCCCCCCCCCTGGTTTTTTTTTTTTTTTTTTTTTTTTTTTGACAAATATTAATTTTTAAAATAGGTAACATTTTCTCAAAAGTTCTACTTTCTCTGCAAAAAGCTCCATCAAGGAACAGTTCCTGTCTCCTACACGGTAACCACAGTGGCACCCCATGGGATTCCACTCTGCACAGGCCAGCACATCCCTGCTTGCAGTACACAACAAGTCCCAGGCTGCTCTGTGGTCTTCAGTGGACAACACCTCCCTGTCTGCAGTGTGCCTCCTCCAGTAAGTCTGTTCCTTTATTGTCACTTTATCTTATTTAAAATAGCATGCAACTGGGTTTTGTTTATGAGTTAAAGTTCAGCAATCCTCCCTTAGGATGGCTAACAGATATGATTTAAGAACTGTCTTTGTAAATTCACTTCCAAGTAAAAAGTTTAATTTTACTGTCATGAAAATCTCAACACAATTAAAGCATTAAATAAAGTTATCTTTATATTTTGATACACTATTTATAGTGATTAAAATATACCCATTTAAGTGTCTTAAACCATATTTCTTTCTATATAAACAGTATAATTAAACCTTAGTAAAGATTGACTTTAGGCTTAGTGCTGTAATATTCAGCAGTTAGCAATCTTAGCTCTCACTGGGGCTTCAAAGGGTACTCTGAGTGCCAGCCTTATTTTTTACCATGAGAAACCTGTTAATAAAAATGTGATTATCCCCAATTTCTATAAACTTGATCTAGAAGGTAAAATTAATTTCTTAATATCATACAGACAATGAGATTCAGACTACTAATTTTTCCCTCTAAAGCTTTATGTTTTATCTTGTAATATTCTGACCTACAGTCCAACTTTCTTACAAAACATGAAGGTGGCTGAGATCCAGAGGGTCTCTGACTGTCTTCAAAGGAAAGCACTCGGAAATACTCAGTATAAGTTTAATAGCCTGGTCTAGTCTACCTGTGAGGTTAAAGCACACATGTACATGCCGATAGCAGTTGAGCAATTCAGTGACCCAAGCTGGTTTCTCAGAAGAGGGTGAAGCATTATATTGTATTACCAACTGACATGAGAAGATTGTGAGGAAGAGGTTCTTTTCCTGCATAGTGCTCCCTCACCTTCATTTTGTTCGCTTTAAAAATATTTTACCTGATTTGGAAGAATTACCAAGTACACACTATATTGTTTGCCGATTTTTACTGATAGATACAGAAATATTCTAGTACTTAATATAAGTTAGATATTTTTGTATGAGTTTGTATGTCAATTTGATTCATATTTTTTTGTCAAGAAATTGTATATTCTGACATTTTTAATCAAAAAGTCATGATTTTCTCCTTACAGATGCTTCAGGCATGTTCAGTTCAGCACTTGCCAGTACCATATGCTGCGTTCCCACCCCTTATTTCTAGCGATCCATTTCTTATACATCCACCTCACCTTTCTCCCCATCATCCTCCTCACTTGCCACCACCAGGCCAGTTTGTCCCTTTCCAAACACAGCAGTCAAGATCGGTAGGTATTTATTTTATTCGTGTTTCTAGTTTCTCAGATGTGTAGGTTAGGGTGATGAGTTTAGTAAATGTGAGTAATTGCCATGTAAGCACTATAACTTTGGTATTCTTACAGCTCTTAAAAGAGTGATAGCAACTTAGATATGTAAATGAGTTTAAACATAATTTAGAGTTACCTTTTTTTTTTCTTATTTTAGCATCACCTAGGTAAATTTTATTCCTTCATATCTGCAGTCTTTCAGACAGTTAAAGCAAAGAAAACTTCCTACCTAATTGGTATTAGTTTTTTCCCCCCATTTTATGTATTCTAATGATTTTTTAAATCTATTATGTGTGTGTGCATTCTGTAATTGGGAGTGAGCATGACACATTGAAGTCAGGACAACTTTGTGGAGTTGGTTTTCTTCCACCTTTTATGTGCATTCTAAAACTTGAAGTCAGATTGCCAGGGTTGCTCAGTAAGCACCAGTACTTCTGAATTTCTAAATTGAAAAATGGAAACCTTATAATTGTCAATATTTCTTTAGAAAAGGGTGGGGGGAGAAAGGAGGTGTGTGTGTGGGAGGGAGGGAGGATGGATTTACCATGTGTGAAGGACTTCTAGAGTCCAGAAGAGAGCATCAGAGCCTCCTAGAGCTGGAATTTCAGTTTATTGTGAGCCAGTTTAATGTGGGTGCTGAGACCTGAATTTTGCCTGGTAGAGTAAATCTTTTAGTTTTCTCCACAGTCCCAAAGAGCTTGTTTTCTTCTTCCTCCTTCCCACCTCCTCCCTCTTTCCTTCTTCTTTTCTTGGCTAGTATGGGTGTTTTGTTTTGTTTTTAAAACAGGGTCTCCTTTAATCCAGGTTCATGAGACATTATATTCAAAAGAAGCTTGGAACGAGGCCACTTACTACACATTTATTTTAAGAAAACACTCCACATGCTATGAAGTACAGTGTGCTTTATAGTCGTTGTTGACTCAGTGTTTACGATACATTGAGTTGGAGTCTCCCTGTGTGTCCCAGGCTGTCTTCAGTCAGTCAGTCCTTCTGTCTTCACCGCAAGTGTTAAGATTATAGGTATATGTTAACATGCCCAACCACGGTACATTCAGAAGTAAGAGTATGTCAGTTTTGTACTGATACTTACATTATCTAAAAGTCACATGTTGGCACTAAAACTCATGACTTTAGTATTAGAGCGAATTTCCATTATACCATATCCTACTGTTCCTGCTTCTGACTTATACACACACCATATGCTATTTCATCAGGGGAGGCTCTGTGTCTGAAAATTCTGTTGATCAGGGTGTTGTGACAACTCAATCTTGAACTTCCATATAATCGATTTACTGTGGTTTCTTCTTTCCTTTCATTTTAAGAGAGTTTGAGTAGTAAAAGACATATATACTATAGTGGGTAATGGAAATGCTTAATCTGTAATTAACACAAACCAAAATTCAAGGTAGGAAATTTTGTGTTCACCTGTATTTTAGTTTGATGTGAGTATCAACACAATCTTGGCCTTGAAAATATTTTTCATTGTTTTATTATTTGGAAAATCAGAAGTATATTGATTTCTTTTTCCCCTCCACAGCCTCTGCAGAGGATAGAAAATGAAGTGGAACTCTTAGGAGAGCATCTTCAAGTAGGCAGTTTTACTTACCCCCCTTCAGCCCATCCCCCAGCATTACCTCCGTCTGCACCTTTGCAGTTCCTGGCACATGATCCTTTGCATCAGGAGGTGTCCTTTGGCGTAGTAAGTCTTCATGCATTATTATATTCATTTATTTGTTTGACAGTTGTTTTCAGTATAACGCTGAAAATGTTCAAAGCTCATGTATTCTTAAAATCACATGTGTGTGTGTGTGTGTGTGTGTGTGTGTGTGTGTGTGTGTGTTGTTTTATCTAAATTAATGTTAAAGAGCTAGTTAATGACACTAGAACAGTAAGTTTAAAAAAAAAAAAAAACAAAAACAAATAAGTGGCAGTTGGGTGTGGTGGCATAGACCTGTAATCCCAGCACTGAAAAAGTAGAAGCAGGAGGATTGTTGCAAGTTCAAGGCCATCTTAGTCTACAAAGCAAGTTCCTGGTAAGTCTGAGCTAGATAGCAAGACCTATCGTAAAAAAAAAAAAAAAAAATGGGGAAACTGAATGTTCTGGCACACGTCTTTAATCCCAGCACTTGGGAGGCAGAGGCAGCTGTGTGTTGGAGACCATCCAGTCTACAGTGTGAGTTCCAGGACTATTAGGGGTATGTAGAGAGACTGTCTCAAAAAATCATGAACAACAAAAACAATAACCCGTGCTGGGACTAGCAAGGCAGCTCAGAGGGTAAGGGTGCTTGCCTTGTAAGCCTGGCAACTTGAGTTCATCCTAGAATTCTCACAACTCCATAAACTTGTCCTCTGATCGTCATATGCATGCTGTGACACACACACCTACACACATCATGCATACACAACAATTTTGATGTTAGTTTTTAAAAAGTAAATTATTTGACATTGTAAACAGAGGATGGTCATTCTCAACCTTTGCTCTCCTACAGCCTTATCCTCCATTTATGCCTCGGAGACTCACAGGACGTAGTAGATACCGATCCCAGCAGCCAATACCACCTCCCCCTTATCATCCCAGCTTACTGCCATATGTGTTGTAAGTTCCTTCTACTGAATTCTCTTTGAGTCTACTTTATGAATGCTTTCTCTACAGCCTGTGACTTAGTGTGTGTTAAAAGATGTAAGTGGTTGTGTGGCTAGAAAGCCAATTAAGGGAGAAGTGGGGGAGGAAAACAATCTGAAACAAATTGTCTAGCAAATTGTAAGGTGAAAAAATTTGAAATATTTGCCACTTGCACAGTTATAATCACTTTTTTTAGATTTTATTTTGTGTGTCTTGTCTACCATGTGTGCATGTAGTGCTTGTAGAGGCCAGAAGAGGGCATTGGATCCCTGGAACTGGAGTTACAGGTGTAAGAAACTATATGGGTAGTGAGAATTGAACCCGAGTCCTCTACAAGAACAGCAAGTGCTCTTAACTGCCGAGCCATCTTTTTAGCCCCTATAGTCACTTCAAAACAAACCTCTTTCTTTACATTTATTTATTATGCATGGTGTAGACGAGCATATGCATACAATGGCTTGTGTGTGTAGTTCAGAGGATATCTTGGAAAGGTCTGCTCTCTCTATCACGTGAGTTCTAGGGATCAAACTCAGGTGATAAGGCTTGCTGGGAGGACCTTTACTGAGCCATCTCTTAGGCCCTAGAATCACTTTTGATTATCCACCTTCTGATGGGATTTTCTTGGAAAAGACAAGTCATTTCTGCATTTAGAACTAGGCTGTTAGGATTAAGTTTACCTGTAAAGAACATTGTGGTTGGGGGTGGTAGGTTTTTATTATTATTATTATTATTATTATTATTATTATTATTATTATTATTATTATTATTTCTACCATGTGAAGCATGGAAGCTAAGTGTGGAAGGTACACTGTAATCCCAGGAGTCAGGAAACCAAGGCAGGAAAGCTATTCTTAAATTCAAGGCCAGCTGGCTACACAGCTAGGCAGGGTTACATAGCAAGACCCCCATCTCAAAGAAACGAAAGTTAAAAAGAAAAGAAAAAACAGGTTCCTCTGCCTGCCTGCTTCTCTTAATAACATTTCCCAGAATGGAACATATTACTATTGTTTCTACTTCATTGGCTGGGACTGTAATTACTTTCTAAGACAAATGTCTTAGATCAGATGTAATCTTTAAATTGCAAGTTATTTTTCTGATCATTTTAGGTTCTCCTCCTCCCCCTTTCCGCATACCTCCCTCTCCTGTCTATTTGTCTTAAAATAACCTCCCAACTTAAAATCAGCACCAATTTTGTACTAAAAGACATAAAAAAGCTTAATGGAGTTTTGTGTTCAATCCATAGATCAATATGGAGGAGGAATACTGATAACTAGTTGTTTTTCTATCTATCTGTATATTACTGTTTTTCCTAGCAATTTTTATAATATAGGTCTTGCGTGTTTTATTAAGTCTATCCTTACATTTAAAATTTTTCTTTACATTGCATTTATGTGTCAGTATGTGCACATATGTGTGTGTGCATGTACATACCGTGGCCCACTTGTGAAAGTCAAGGCAACTTGTGGGAGTCAGGTTTTTTCCTTCCTGTGTGGGTGCTGGGGATCAGGTTCAGATTATCAGGCTTGAGAGAGCTCCTTTACCTGCTGAGCCATCTCTGGCCTTCACATTTATCTTGTTATGCTATTGTAAAGAGTTGTCACTTAGTAAACACTGATCATTCTTCATCCATGTAATTTGGCCTTTTTTCTTCTGCTGTTTATTTGTGTTATTGTACTGACATATTAAAGTTTCCTGGTGGTTTTCTTTGTAGATCAATGCTTCCAGTACCACCTGCAGTGGGCCCAACTTTCAGCTTTGAATTGGATGTGGAAGATGGAGAAGTAGAAAACTATGAGGTTAGTAAATGAGTGTGGATTAGTTTAGGGAGTATTGTGTGTAGTTGTCCTATACTTTCACATGAACATTTCTTAGTTAACTTTGCATTTTAAGATACAAGTAAGTCAAAATTGTTTCACATTCCTAGAATATGTGGACATTTTCCACATACCTGTTACAGTAAGTAGACTCTGTTCTCTCAGGGAGAAAATGCAAATGATGGGTTTTGATTAGGTGTTCAGAAAAGATTTGTGGAAGCAAAGATGTTTGAACTAAATCTTAGGGATTGTATTTTATTTTTGCATAAAGTTGAGGAAGGAAAGTGTTGTACATTGTGGTGTATAGATTGTGATGGAGACTAAAGTGGAAGGGTGAAAGTGGACCTGTGGGGTGACACATGTCTGTGATGCCAGCACTCAAGAGTTGGAAGCAGAAGTATAGCAGGTTTGAGGCTGGCCCAGGCTATGTAACACCTTGTCTTAAAAAAAGAAAGGGAGGAAATGGAGACTTGAGACATGATAATGAGATTGGTGCTTGATAGTCTGAGTCAGGAGGATCTTGAGTTCAAGATCAACCTGAGTTGTAAAAAAAAAAAAAAGGCAACTTAATTGTAAGCTAAAGCAGATACGTAATGAGCCATTAAAATTTCAAGAAGAAGATGGGTGATGGTGGCGCACAGCTTTAATCCCAGCACTCAAGAGGCAGAGGCAGGCGGATCTCTGTGAGTTCAAGACCAGCCTGGTCTACAAGAGCTAGTTTCAGGACAGCCTCCAAAGCCACCTGTCCTGAGGGGAAAACAAAATTCTAGAAGAATGAGATACTAGTGTAAAATCAGTAAACATAATTGTAACGCCCTATGATACATCAAGTGTTTTAAATACGAATTTATGTTAAATTCTTGTAAAAACCCAATTTATTGGTCTTTTTTTTTTATCATTCCTTTTCTTTATATACTACTGGGTACAATTTGGTGTGGGGAAGGTTTCTCATTATAAGAAAATTTATTTGAATAATGATGAAATTGACACCATAGGTTCCTGAGTACCTGGTGATTGAACTATTGGACAGGACAGGCCTGATGAGCATAGAGAAGAGTCAGATCTTTTTCAGTGTACAGAAAGTACGGTGGGCAGGAAATGTGCTGAAACAAATAGGTCAGAAGTGGAAAGTCATTAGTCACATTGGGAATGTCTGTATTTTTGTTTGTTTTTTATTTTGAGACAGGTTCCTCATGCTGACCTTTAACTTGTGATACAGCATTGCCCTTCTGGCTATTCCTGCCTCTGTCTTTTAAGTGCTGCCATTAATGGTTCCAGCATACCTGGTTTGATGTTGTGCTGGGGCTGGAACCCAGGGTCTTGTGTATGCTAAGCAAGCACCCTGCCAACTAAGCTATGTTCACAACCACACATTGGGAATTTCTACAGGTCTTTGACCTGGTTTCTTCAACAAATATAAGGATAAAAAGAGACTTGAGGGACTGGAGAAATGCCATACCATTGCTTTGTGCCTTGTCAAAGGACCAGAGTTAAGATTCCGGCACCCATGGGGTGGGGGGAGACTCATAAACAACCTGTAACTCTAGCTCCAAGGGATCCAACATCTCACTCCTAACCTCCATTGACAAACATACATACATGTGTACACATACATGGAGTAAAATAAATATATTTTTAAAAGGTTTGACATATCAAACCGTGGTAGTATTGCATCCCAATTTGAATAACATACCTGTTTTGAAAATAATCAGTAGTATTTGAACATTAATTGGATATTTGATGTTAAATTAATTTTTTTGACACAATTTTATGGGTATAGATGTTTTGCCTACATGTGTGCTTGTGCACCATGTATGTTTCTGATGCCCTTGGAGGCCAGAGGAGGGTGTCAGAAAATTGTGAGCCCCATGTGGATGGCTGGGAATTAAACCAGGATCCTCTTGAGAAGCAGGTAGTACTCTTAACTGCTGAGTCATTGTCTTAGGGATTCAATGAAGAGACACCATAACCATGGCAGCTCTTATAAAGGAAAACATCTAACAGGGGAGACTTACAGTTTTAGAAGTTTAGTCCATTATCATCATGGTGGGACATGGCAGCATGCAGGCAGACATGGTGCTAGAGAAGGAGCTGGGAGTTCTACAACTTGATCAGGCAACAAGATGTGAACTGAGTCCACACTGGATGTAGCTTGAGCATAGGAGACCTCAAAACCCACTCCCACAGTGACACACTTCTCCCCAAAGAGCCACACCTCCCAATAGTGTCACTTCCTATGAGCTTTTGGGGGCCAGTTACATTCAAACTACCACAGCCATCTTTTCAGCCCTGTTGTATTCTTTTGAAAAGTCTTGTCTTTAATAAATTATGTAGTAGATGTAATCTACATCCCTGAGGCTCATATAAGTCAATCATATCTAAACTATTATGTGCATGTGTCTGTCTGTCTGTCCGTCCATCTGGGCACGCACCTTTGCCATGAGATAATTTATGAGAGTTGGTTCTCCTGTCTGGAGATTAGAGCTAAGGTTGTCACGCTTAGTGGTAAGTGCCTTTATCTGTTGAGTCAAAGCAATTTTGATTAGAGCAGCTGGCTCTGTTGCATATTCGTCTCTGTACTGTATTATAAATTGATCTGTCTTTGATAAAAGCACTCAGTAATTCTTAAGCAATTGGTTATCATTCCCATGGTAGCTGTGCTCTTCCTTTCCTGAAAAATACCATGTAAAACAGATACAGGAGGGATTGACTTCCAGACTGGACATGACTGTTCTTGTGAGCATAGAAAGACTTACTGAAAGCAAATGTGAAAAATCTTAAAAAGTCAGGGTGTAGTCTCAGAGAAATAGGACAGGAATCAAGTTAAGGTTGTTATCCCAGGAACCCCACTCAGTTTTATTGTAAGTATGTGGTTTTCTTTGTAAAATAAAAGGTGTAAGTATGGGCATATTGGCTCACACCAGTAATCTTAGCACTTGAGAGGCCAAAACAGGAGAATTGCCATGAGCTTACAGCTAGCTTGAGCTACATACTGAGTTCTAGGACAGCCTAGGTTACAGAGTGAGATCTTGTTTCAAAATTAATTAATTAAAAAAAAAAAAACATATACAAGTTACTTCAGTGGATGACCAAAGAGAAGGCTCAGTGGATAAAATCTCTTGACCTCTACATGTGTTCCATGGTGTTGTGTGTGCATACATGTGCACATACATGAGTAATTGTCTTGATATTACTTCAGTAGAAAATGTAAAGAAAGATAAAAATCTGTCTTCTTTTCCTTCCTTTAGGCCCTGCTCAACCTGGCAGAACGACTGGGAGAGGCGAAACCTCGGGGCCTGACTAAAGCAGATATTGAACAGCTTCCTTCCTACAGGTTCAATCCTAACAACCACCAGTCAGAGCAGACTTTGTAAGTATGTTTCTGTGATGCTCCTGTTCACGGTTTTCTCTTACCTTTAATGAAGTACAAGTTTGAGTGTCAGGTAATGTGATAAAGGTAAGTTGCCAGTTCTGGGTCTGTGTTGGCCAGTAAGGTAGTTATTAGTCATATGGACAATTTATATTTCTTAGTCACAATAGCAAGTGACTGTCATTAGGAGGTTTAAAAATGGAATGAGCTGAAATTCATAAAGTTCACCTGTTCATTGTTTTTAGCATGTTTGTGAAACTGTGCAGCATCACCACTTAGACCATTTCATTGCTCCACAGAGTGGTCTCCTCTCACTTGCTAGTAGCTACTCCCCATGTTTTCTCAATCTTCTTACTTCATGCCTTATCTCCTCTGTCTTTAGATAGCACATGTCTGGACTCCTATAATACAGTGATTCTCAACCCTTTAATACAGTTCCTCATGTTGTGGTGACCCCTACCATAAAATTATTTTGTTGCTACTTCATAACTATAATTTTGCTACTGTTATGAATTGTGATGTGAATATCTAACATTGCAGGATATCTGATATGTGACCTCTGTGAAAGTGTTCTTTGAACCCTCTCCCCCAAGGGGTCACAACCCACAGGTTGAGAAACGCTACTATAATACTGTAATCTTCGGTCTGCCCAGAAAGTCAATGTAGCATAACTTGTTCCAGGTCCATGTAGTAGAGTAGCTTGTATCAAGTGTTCATTTGTTTGTTTGTTTTTTTTGTTTTGTTTTGTTTTTCAAGACAGGGTTTCTCTGTGTAACTTTGGAGCCTATCCTGGCACTCGCTCTGGAGACCAGGCTGGCCTCCAACTCACAGAGATCCGCTGCCTCTGCCTCCCGAGTGCTGGGATTAAAGGCATGCGCCACCAACGCCCGGCTCAAGTGTTCATTTTTATGGCTAAAAATACTCCATAGTATAGATATGCCATGTTTATCCTTTCTATAGTTGATGGACATTTAGGTTGTTTTCATTGTTTGACTCTTAAGAATAATGTTACTTGGAACATTTGTATAACATTTTTCTGGGTTTATGTTTTCATTTCTCTTGGGTGGAGGTGAGTTGCTGAGTTAAGTTCATAGCTCTGTGTATAACCTTTTGATAGTTGTCAGTTTTCCCATTTTACATTCTGAGAAAATGCACAGGGATTTCAGTTTCTACATTTTTAGAACATTCTTGTCTTCTCTGGGTTGTCCTGCTGGGTTTAAAATGTTAGCCTACTGAGGTTTGACTTTCCTTTCACTGGAGGATACTAACATTAAGTGTGTGTGTGTGTGTGTGTGTGTGTGTGTGTGTGTGTGTATGTATGTATGTATGTATGTATGTATAATTTTTTTGAGAAATGCCTTTTTCCAATCACTATTTTCAAATTGGATTGGGTTTTTTTTTTTTTTTTTTTTTTTTTTTTTTTTGGTTACCAAACTGAAGAAGTTTCTTGTATATTAAATATAAAAATTCCTTGTGGGATAAAAGATGTTCAAATAATGTCCCCCATTCTGTGGGCTTAGGAGATGGTTTTGTCTTAAAAGTACTTGTTGAACAAGTGTGAGGACTTGAGTTCAAGCCCCAGCACCCATGTACAATGGCCAAGTGTGGCAATGGACACTTATAATCCCAGTGTTGGGAAGGCAGTGGTAGGCAGTTTGGAAAGTAAAAGACTCTGTCTTTGGTTATGTACTACAAATTGGCCGTCTCTGACAACATGCATATAGGTAACATTTAGACTGAGTTTAGACTGAGCCGGTTGTATTTAGGGATGTATATGTATATACATATATGTATGCAATAACAATTAGTGAAAAAAGAGGCCATGGATTTGAAAGAGCAAGGAGGGCTATATGAAAGAGTTTGGAGAAAGAAAAGGGAAGGTGGAAAGATTGTAATGATAATCTTAAAAAACAAACAAGGTTTGACTGAGAGATAGTTCAGTGGATAAAGTGCTTGCACGAGGACCTGAGTTCAAACCCCCAGAACCATTTTTAATTGGGGTCAGGGGGCCATGGGCTATGCACTCGTGTAATCCCAGCACTAGGGAAGAAGAGACAAAATCCCTGGAGCTTGCTGACCAGCCAGCCTAGTTGAATCAGCAAGCTCCAGTTTTATTAAGAAGTTTTTTCATAAACATGTTAGATCAGGGCTAATGAGATGGCTTCGGAGGTAAAGGTGTGCTATAGGCCAGCAGCCTGAGTTCCTTTGCAGGAATCCACATAAATGTGGCTATAGAACTGAAGTAAGTGGAGGGAAGGTGGAGAGCAATTGAGGAAGAACCTGATGTGGATTGTATGCCTTTAATCCCAGCACTGGGAAGGCAGAGACAAGTGGATCTCTGTGAGTTTGAGGCAGCCTGGTCTATAAGAGATAGTTCTGGGACAGCCTCCAAAGCCACACAGAAACCCTGTCTCAAAAAACCAAACAAACAAACAAAAACCACATTTCTTAAATTTTTGGTGAGTTTGTTTTGTGATGTTGGGGGGCTTAACATATGCAGTCAAGCATTTTACTACTGAGGTGTATCCCCACCTAATTTTGATTAATTTTGTTTTAGTTGTTTTTATTGTTTGCTTTTTTGTTGATGATGGTATTTTCCTCATGTCAAAAAAAATTTATCTACCTTTAGATCACAAAAATTGACTTCCCTCCCAATCTAGAATTTTGATCCGTTGTTTTAGGTAAATTATTTTGCATGTGTGTGCGTGTGTGTGTGTGTGTGTGTGTGTGTGTGTGTGTGTGTGTGTATGCAGGTATACATGTATGTGTATACACATATAGGTCAGAAGTTGATTGATACTAGGTGTCTTTTCAACCATCTCCACCTTTAAGGCAGGGTCTCTCACTGATTCATTCAACCTGGTTAATTGACTAGCCAGCTTGGCCCAGAGATCCCAGCTTTTTTATGGGAGTCCTTTGGATTAAGGCAGGGTCTCTCACTGATTCATTCAACCTGGTTAATTGACTAGCCAGCTTGGCCCAGAGATCCCAGCTTTTTTATCTGTGTCCTTTGGATCTGAACTCTGGTCTTCATACTTATGCAACAAACTTTACCCACCAAGCCACCTCCCTAGCTCTGGCTAATTTATTATACGGTGTAAGATTTATGGATCTACTTTTGCGCTTTTTCATGTGAATATCCTACATTCTAGTACCTTCTCTCTCTCACCCTCCCTCCCTCTCTCTTTCCTTTCTTCCTTCCTCCCTCTCTTCTTCTCCGCTCCCTCCCTCTCCCTCTCTCTCCCCACCCCTCTCTCTCTCTCTCTCTCCCTCCCTTCCTCCCTCTTTCTTTCTTTCTTTCTTTCTTTCTTTTTTTGATAGACAGGGTTTCTCGGTAGCTTTGGAGTCTGTCCTGGAACTCACTCTGTAGACCAGGCTGGCTTCGAACTCAAAGAGATCCTCCTGCCTCTGTCTCAGGTACTGAAATTAGAGGTGTGCACCACCATGCTCAACCTTGGTATAGTAGTTTTAGTTTTCAGACTAGATGTTAATTAGAAATATTTTTTTGTTATTTCTGATGAATGTGTGTGTTATATTTTAGAATATAGACTGTAGACCTGCATGTGAATGGCGCACTATCCTGTGCGTTCACAGAACAGTAGGTGTTCTCTAGTTCATTGTCTCTCACTAAGCTCCCTTGCCGTTGCTTCTAGACAGGCCAACCAGGAGCTCTCAGACTTCCCCGTCTTTGCCTCTGGTTACCAGGGTTACAAGCACACATAGTCATGCCCAGCTCTTTACATGGATGCTGGGGCTTCAGACTTAGAGTTTTATACTTACAAGTGCTGTTAACCACTGAACCATCTCTCTAGCTCCTTAACTAGAGATGCTTTGATAATCTGTTAGTAAAGCAAAGAACTCTCAGTAAATCCCTTAGCAACATTATTTTCAGGAATAGTGGTAATTTAAACAAAATTAAGTAATATTTTGATAACTGAGAGTGTCTTTGTAATCATAATAGTCATAACAAATATAAAACCAAAACTGACCTTTTTGCTTTTTTCCAGGTGTGTAGTGTGCATGTGTGATTTTGAGTCAAGGCAGCTTCTTAGAGTCTTACCCTGTAACCACGAGTTCCATGCCAAGTGTGTCGATAAATGGCTTAAGGTAAAATGATCACACAAGTATAAAGAAAATAACTGTTTTGTATTCTTATTGACCATATCTGACTAAGGCCATGGTTGGGGGGGGCGGGTTTAGGAGATAAATAGAAGCATAGCTTTTAGAGGAAGCACTCTGGAAAGTCCAGTAAAGAGTAACTGCAGAGACTGTAGGTAGTGGTTTTGTGTGCGCCTAGTATGGGTGATTTCTGGGTTCAACTTCCAGTATTGTTTAAAAGAAGAAAAGAAAACTGCAGCCATCAGCATGGTAAAAGCAGGGAGCAGACTGTTTGTCCCTATTATCTGTGTGCTTGGATTTTATCCTGGTGTAGTCCAAGACCTGGGCTCCTTAGGATTGAGATGGTTTTTTTTTTTTTTTAATCAGAGTTTGGATGGAACCTCATCGGGGCTTTCTTTACCAGAGATTTTTATGGAAAAATAAGCTTTTTACTTAATTCTTACTAGTCCTTCTCTTGAGCATATGGAGAAGCTCAAAGATTAAGAATAGCATAGCAGTGTTTGGGCTGGAGAGATGGCTCAGCAGTTAAGAACACTGGCTGCTCTTCTAAAGTTCCTGAGTTCAATTTCCAGCAACACATGGTGGCTCACAACCTTCTGTAAATGAGATCTGGTGTCCTCTTCTGGCCTCTGGCCTGCAGGCAGAACACTGTATGCATTAAGTAAAAAAAAAAAAAAAAAAAAAAAAAAAAAAAAAAAGACCTAGAAGTGCTTTGGGAGGCTTCTTGTCCTTTTCAAGTATTTCTTTGGATAGTCTTAATTATGTGAATAAAATATAAATAAAATAGAGAGATCCTGCCTTTATTTAAAAAAAAAAAAGATTCCTGTAGGCTAGAGCCAGGCTCTTAGGATACACCTGTAGTCCTGTCTCTAAGGGAGAATGAGATCAAAGTCCTGTTTCAAAAAAAGAACTAGATTAGTAAAAATGACAACCCTGAAGTTAATCTTCAGCCCCATTCATGTTGTTCTCCTGGGTTGGGGGTGGGAGTGGGGACACGAGGAAAGGCAAAGTTTTGATTTTAAGTTAGTTACTAAGTTTTTCTAAACTAGTGATAGCAAGTCATGTTTAACAAAGTCTGTCTTGGAGATTTGTGTAGTTTGTTTTGCTTTGTTTTGGTTTTTGTTGTTTTGTTTTGTTTTGTTTTTTAAAAAGCAGGGTCTCCGGTAGCTGAGGCTGACTTGAAAATCTTGATCTTCCTGACTCCACCTATTATCCCATTGTGATAACAGGCTTGCACTGCCACCCTGGTTTAGGAGGTGTTTAGTTTTGGGGGGTTTTGTTTGTTTGGTTTGTTTTTTTCGAGACAGGGTAGCTTTGTAGAGCAAGCTGGCCTTGAACTCACAGAGATCCACATGCCTCTGCTGGTATTAAAGGCCTGTGCCACCACTGCCCTGCAGAGGTGTTTGTTTTTAAAGGAACAGAATATAAAGACCATATGGAAGTAACTGTAGACCTGGGCACTTCACTGTATGAGACATGACTCCAGTGAGCTTCCTCTTGTTTTTCAGGGAAATCGTACTTGCCCAATTTGCCGAGCTGATGCTTCAGAAGTGCATCGGGATTCAGAGTGACCAGCCTAAGAGCACAGATTTAGTTTGGGTGTTCCTCATCACGTGTATATATGGACTATCCATTGAACTTAACCTGTGTGGCTTCCAGCCCTCCCTTTACCAAAAGGGTCAATGGACCTTTCTTTGCACTGTGTGACTTAATCAACTATAAAAGCTTACAATTAGTCTTCACAATTATGGGATTGTTATACTAACTGTGTGATTGGAACTCCAAAGATCTTTTCTTTAGCTTAATTTCGTGTGTGCACTAACATTCCCTGGTTTTTGTGTGATCATTCCGAGTGTTGCTGCAAGATTACAGTGGACGTGATCTTTTAGCATGTGCTTTTATAAAAAATGGTAGCCCCAGATGATATAGCAATCTACCTTATATAGAGCCTTCAGAAACTGTGAGTGGAAATGAATGCAGTGTATGACTGTTGGTGATAAGTGAATCTGTGTGAAAGAGTGTGTGCAACTACATGTGTGTGGGCATGGTAGCTAATGTCTGTATGAGATCCTATATACCAGCATGTACCAAGAATGTGTGTGTAGTTTTAATTATGCTGCAATGTATAATCTGGTGTGTTATTTAAACAGCACTAGTACTGTACACTGGTTTTCCCCTTGTGTTTGCTGTTGCACACTGATTGCTAAGGGTGCATCAATTCTAAGCATTGAATACTCCATCCCCTTCCCTCCCAGTGAATGGAATGAGAAAAGCCTTCTTCCTTTGCTTCAGGCAGCTGTCCCCTTCTCTTCTTTTGTGATCCTAAGTGGGTCACTTAAGAAAGTGTCAGATTCTCACTCCATGACCTAATTTTTTTTTTTTTTATTTTTCAATTCTGTTGTAAAAGAAAATTTTTAAGTCTCCAACTTGCTATTTCCAAAAAGAAGGTGCAATATCATACATCATCATTAGCAATATTAGCATTTCAATCAGTGATCTGAGTGTTGATACTTATTGTTTTTCCTTTACATTTCCAGTAGTGTCTTACAGAAAGGACCTGTGATTTTATTAATGTGTAGATTTGTAGTCTGTTCCCGAAGATGTTCAAGTAATATATTTTCAAAAATACCACTGGTCCCATAAGTCTTGCCTCCTTGACTTGCACCAGAACAAAATCTGTTACCTAACTCAGCTTGGTTTCTGGTGTGTGTTCTTTGCTCAGGCCCCCAAGGGCAACTAAATTGTTTTAAGAGAACTACTTCACTTGGTGTTTTCCCCCACTGCAGTCCTGAAGTTCTCATCGAAACCTTTGTTTCTGGGTGGATCAAGCGCTGTGATCCCATTCCTTGGGCCTGATTTGTTTTGATGTTTTTCTTTTATGTTAGAATGAGAAAAGCTTAGTACCACAGGTACCCAGAATACTTGCAGTGTAAATGAAGATTGGATTTTTGTATAAAAAGAAATAATGCTGTCAAACAAGGAATTGACCTTTATTTAATCTGGAATGATACTTGGCTGTGTAAAACAAAACAGATTCATTGAAACTAAATCAGATTGTTTGAAGTTGTTTATCAGCAACATTGGATTCCTTTCTCCTTCTCTCAGTGTGCTTAGCCTTGTCTGCCTCTTCGTGAGTTACCGGTATCTGTTTGCAGCCTCACATGCTGCAGCCTTTCGGTCACTATGTGACATCTCGCTGCCAACCTCACTCAACTCGCAATTGGCACTGGGCCTATTTTTTTATTCTGATAGGGAGAGTGTTCAACTACTTGTTACTGCCATGATCCTTACCCTCCCTCCCTTCAAGTCTCTAAGCTCACCATAGCCTAGAGTTAAGGAAAGTCAATTCACACAGAAGCACAATTTTGTCTTCTTCCAGACACTGTTGCCTCTATCTAGTCAGACAAATAGGATTTGACCTACTTTCTGTTTGCTCTTAGATTTGTGTTTATGTCAGAAATACACTTAGTGGTAAAATGCACATGTTACTTTTAAATCATTAGGATACCCCCTCCTGTTCCTAATGAATAAAATGGTGTGTTAAAAACCAAAATTATTGACATATAGCAGTCAGCTCCAAATCACATACAGTTTAATCTTTTCTTAATTTAAAGAAATCATGTTTAAAATGGCAAGTCCATATTATATATACACTTTTATATAGCTGCAAAAACTTTATACCTGTATAGCTCTAGCATAACACTGTCCACTCAGTATTTGTTTTATTGATGCACACAAGTGAAGCACTTTCCTATTTATACAGAGATACTGAATCCCAAGGCACATTGTGCTAATGACTGGAAAGTAGCCTTTCTTTATTCTGTCGATGTTTGCCATAAAGTCCCCTTTCCAGTAGGTTTTTTTTTTTTTTTTTTTTTTTTAAATAGAAGTAGTTGGCAATTTAGAAGGCATCAGATCTGTCCTGGTGAAATTCTGTTTTGTATTTCTGACTGCTGTCTCCTTGGGGGTGTCTTGTCTTAGCACAGCACTCTTAGAGATGGTTCAGACTTCTGTTCACTGAGTGCTTAGTGTATTTTGGGAGCACGCTTGGTGTGATATCCAGGTAGCCATGGTGGGCATCTTGGTGGCCAGCAAATGAGAAGGTGCAGTTGGTTCCTGCCCAGCCATCATTTTGGGAGATGCACCAGGTGGCAAATGGATGTTGGTAATCTTCATCCTCTCTCCTAGAACAATATTGGCCTTTACTGTCTGAACTCAGCTGTGGGTTTTTGTTTGTTTGTATGTGTTTTTTGTTTTTGTGGTCTTTAGTTTTGGGTGTTTTTTTGTTTTTGCAGGTTTTAGTTGTGGGGTTTGGGCTTTTTGTTTGTATTTTGGTTTGTGTGGAGTTTGGTTTTTTTGTTTTGCATGAATCACCATATGTTGTATTTTTTTTTTTTTAACTCCAACCTCCACAAAACAACTCAAGGCCTCCAAGTATCAAGATAATCATACTAAGATTTTTCTGTCCATTTTTTTTTAAGCAGAATCTGAAATTGTGAAAGCATATTAGATTTTATACTCCCTGAACTGTAATTTGCTAAAATTCTCAAATTTGGGCCTTTTGTGATAATTGCAAGTGTGATCTGCCTGCCAGCTTCTGAGAATATTTTTCCCAGTATCTCTAGGCCTTCTTTAGAAGTCTGTCCTCCACAGTGCATCTGGTTACCTCAAGTTGCTGTTTGTTAAGATTATGAAAGCTCACAGGGGTGTTTGTTGGAATCATTTGCTGAGTCATTTCCTCAAATCATATTCCATTGTATCAGTTAACATAGTTTTAAATGTATGTATTATAAATATCTGTAACCAAATCATTTGAAGGCTTGATAAATTTTTAACAAAGTTTGTACATTTTTTATGAAAGTTACTAGTAATGCTTTACTAAGTAGTGCAATGAATTTTTATTTTTAATCCCTGTGCCCAATTTTGGAGTTGAGAGGGTTGTTGGTAATAAATGTATGATGTACACTTAAAGTATCTGTTGTGTTTCATGTTAGGTGTGTTTTTAGAAGCTGTGTTTGTAAGGGGTGGAGGGGTGATGGGATATAGTAGGGTAGTAGAGCTGGGTTGAGGTGCTAACCACTAAGCTTAATCTTCCACAGTGTATTCTTTGACGCATGTGCCACCATCCCGTTTTTGATTTTGTTTTAATGTGGGTTCTCGGAATCAAAACTTTGGGTCCTTGTGCTTGCAAGGTAGGTACATAACTGGCTATCTCCCCTGACCCAACTTGCTTTTAACAGAATAAATTATATTTATTGTTACAGTTTTATACATGTAAGCAATGTATGTTGGTCATGTGCATACCCAGCTGCCCCTCCCACTCCCTCAGGCACCTCCAATAGGTCTCCATCCCCCAGTTTTTAAACCCACTGTGTTAATCTGTTTTTTGTTGTCATCTTGACTGCATCTAGAATTAACAAACCCAAGCACCCGTGTATACCTATATGGGATTTTCTTCTTGATTGAATTTTTTTTAATATTATTGAAATACTGAGTTTATTTTACATGTATATTTTTGTCTCCCTGCCATTTCCACATCTGAGCACCACTATTACTGTGTCCTCTCATAACATTGCATACACACTGAAAACCAAGTTAAGGGTGGGGTTCATCCTTGAAAACTAAACAGGCATTTTAGACAACACATTCTTGGCAATGGAACCTGGACAACGTTTATCAAAGTAGGGAAAGTTCTCATTCTGCATTATAAAAAGGACAGCCAGGTTTATCAGCTGTTACAGAAATTAAGATGGAATATTTCAAACTGTTTAAACCATTTTCTTAAAGAGACTTCCTCCACTGCCAGAGATCTTGAATAGCCTCCTGGTCAGTCATCCAGAAGCAATTCACACAATTAATGAACTTGGCTTCCATTTTGGGAAGAGAACCACCTTTTTCTATACTTGCTTGCATTTTTTTTGTTTGTTTTTGTTTTTGTTTTTTAAGACAGGGTTTCTCTGTGTAGCTTTGGAGCCTGTCCTGGCACTCACTCTGGAGACCAGGCTGGCTTCGAACTCACAGAGATCTGCCTGCCTCTGCCTCCCGAGTGCTGGGATTAAAGGTGTGCACCACCAACACCCGGCTACACTTGCTTGCATTTTTGCCTTAATGTCTTCTACAGAACTAGGTCCTTTTGGGGTTTTAGAAGTTTTTGAAGGACTCTTGACCTTTTGATCTTGGTGTTGATGGTTTTAAGTCTTTTCCATTTTGGTTTGATTTTTGTGTGTTTTTGGCTGGGGTATCTCGTACAGATTTCTTCACTGGAACTTTTTCTTCAGTTTCTTCATCAAAATCATCATCTTCTTCATCATCAACGTCCTTCTCATCTTCATCAATTTTTACTTTTTTCTGTGGAACTTTGTTAACACCTCCAGGAGGAGATTGCTTGCCAGACATAACAGTTTTACATCCTCCTTATCTTTATCTTCTGACTCTGCATCTTCCTCTATAGCTACTAGGTGCTGTCCACTAATGTGGACAGGCCCCCAACCACACCTCAACTGTAAGGCCACCGGTGGTGTAATTTCAAGGCCCCCAAGGGAAACTGTTGGTTGTACAGACATTTTCAAAGTTGCCAGTGTTACTTTAATGGACTGCTAAATTAAAGTGATAATTTTTGTCAGCTTTTAGTTCACAACCGAAAAGGTAGTTCTAAGGCCTAAGAGGGCTCATGTCCATATCCATCAAGTCTTCCATGAGGTGGAGGCTCGCACTTGGTATGAGAGAAGTCAGATGGAGAAAACAGCCTACTGCTCCTCAGAACAGACACACAGGACAGAATCAGGCCAGGTTCTTGGTTGAATCTTTTGAGATGGGAAGATACACCTTTAATCTGGGCCATGCCTTTTGCTGGCAGCCTATCTAAAGGACATAAAAGAAGGAAGCTTGCTCTTGATGACAAGTTCATTCCTTCATTGGATTAATGCCTACTTCTTTGAGATTCCAGTGTATACTGAAGACGAGCTATGACATCCAACCTCATGTACTGAACAAACTACTGGATTCTTTGGCCTTTTCTATTGGTAGACAGCCATTGTTGGCCTAGCTGGACCACAGCCTGTAAGCCAGTCTAATAAATCCTTTATATCTATTCATTCTACAGGTTCAGTTCCTCTGGAGAACCATGACTAATAACACTGAGTCCAATCAGTTGTTGCCTGTTGGAATGTTGACTGATGTTGGCTTGATTTTTGTACAGGTACCCATAGCTGCAGTGAGTTCTGGCATGTCCTGTCAGAAGACAGCATTTCACAGCGCTTCTTTGCTCCTCTTCCACATGGTCCCAAGCCTTTGAGGAGAGAAGGGTGCAGATTCAAACTTCTAAATTTTATCATTCTTAAACCATGGTCAAATTAAAAAGCACTTCACTTTGAATAGCTAATGTAACTTGTTAACCTTGTAAAGATTCTAGTAACAATGTGCTGCCCTGGTACGCATGAGGATCAAAGGTCCTAGGCCTGGGGTTATAACTTGAGTGGTAGAGTGCTTGCCAGGCATAAACCCCTGGGTTTATTCCTAACATCACAGACTGGATGTGATGGCACCTGTCTACAATCCCAGCACTTGAGAGGCAAGAGGATTAGGATAAGCCTTGCCTACATAATTAGAGGATGGCTGTATGATGTCTTATGTCAACATCAGGGTTCCTTGTTCATTAGTAAATTCCCAAGTCATGTTTGCTTAGTACCTTCAGAATCCCCAGCTGTTTAAATAAATATATAAGCTAGAGAGATAGCTCCGAGGTTAAGAGGCTACTTGCTCTTCCAGAGGTCCTGAGTTCAATTCCCAGAAACCACATGGTGGTTCACAGCCATCTATAATGAGATCTGGTGCCCTCTTCTGGTTTGCAGGTATACATGCAGTAGAATGTTCTATACATAATAAGTAAATAAATCTTTAAAAGTAAATATATAAGAGAAATAAATAGTGGTCAGGGCTGGAGAGGTGACTCTACCCTTGTAAGAGGTTTCTGTGTTTGCCAGGATACTTGAGTTTGGTTCACTTATCCAGCATCTTACAAGTGTCTAACTCCAGCTCCAGGGCCCCCAGTATCCTTTTTTCCCCCCTCTGGCATCCACATTCATGTGTGCACCACCTTAATATAAAACTACATCAAGTCCTTGGTTTTTGGCCTACATATGAAAACAAAGTAAAATGATATGGTGGTTGGACAGTAGTCTGTAGCTCCTTTCCCCTTTCCTAGTGGACTACCTAGACTCACCAGTGTACACAGAAGACATCAACAAACTGCCTTCTGACCTTTCTCAGCAGTAAACACTGGCAATGTAGAAGACTCCCTTTTCCCATTGCCCTACATAGAGCTGTGTCTTGTTTATTTTTGTGGATTGGAGATTGTGCTTACTAGCAGGTAGAGATTAGTGAATCCTGGATTTGATTCTAGGAATGCATAAACTGGGCATGTCATGCACAGGGTAACCCTAATGCTAGGGAGGTGGTGGCAGGAAGATCAGAAGTTAAGATCATCCTTAGCTACATAAACGGATTTTGTAGTACATGGGGTACATGTAGTCTGGGGTACATGAGACCTTGTCTTGGAAGATTACATCATGAAACCTAATACTAGTGTATGCCTTCTAGTAAGTATTGTTCCAAGGTATAGAGAGCATTTCTGTAGTAAGTGGAAACTAGGACTCACACATTGTACTTGGCGCTACTGATTTTGGACAGTAGTATCAGATGTCTGCTACATCAGAAGAAACTGTTCTGTCAATATTAAGCTAGCCTTACATACATATGGTGTACACACATACACACATGGTGCACAGACATGTATGTAAGGAAAGATAGGCTATTATCTCTCACAATTCAGTGTTAGAAAGCTCTAGTATGGTCACTGGCAGGGAGGGAAATGGACTGGCTATGTTAATTTCAGTAGCCCAGGAGGAAATGGGTTTCCAGGTCCAAACTGCCAAATTTTACTTGGGGTAGACAAGCCAGAAAGGAAAAAAATATCACTTGAGCCTTGACCTTCTGAGGCAGCCTGGGCAATATAAAAAGGTGACCCACCTCAAAAGATTTAAAAAGCATCATAGTTCAACAGGTATAAAGCACTTGTTACGCAGCCCTGTGACCTGAGATTGATGCCCAAATCCATCTCAAAGTATAAGGAGAGAATCAACCCCACAAAGTTGCCCTCTGACCATTTACATACCTGCACATACACAGATGATGCACAAGCATAATATAATTTATTAAAATTGCCTCTAATTTCAGCACTAGTTTCAATAGGATTATAAATCCTACGTAGGAGGATCCTGTCTCAAAACAAATCAGTAGGTGCCAGTCCAGTATGATAGCATTCAGGCCAGCCTGCTTACACAGTAAATTCTAGGTCAGCCAGGGCTTTCAAAATGAGACCCTGTTTCAATAAATACAAATTAAAAATAGGTACTACTCACCCACAAGCACTGTTAGAAATGACCAAGATGAAAGCAGTCCCAAAGGCTGCAGAGACAGCTCAATGGCTAACAACACAGCTCTTGGAGAGGATATAGGTTTGTCAGCACCCACATGAGTCTCATTACCATCTGCAACTTCAGTCCCAGAAGATCTGGCCCCTATGGGCACCAAGCACACACATGGTGCACAGACATGTATGTAAGGAAAGTACTTGTACACATAAGTGAAAATCTTTAATTTTTTCCCTTTCATTCCAATGTATTTGTGCTTCAAATTTAAAATATGAGAACATTCTGCAGCCAAGGAAATAGGCTAACTGCAGATCTTATCTCTCCCTCCTCTCCAAATCCAATCTCAACCCTAGCTCTGTAACAGACTGTAACAGGGCCCCAGGCCCTAGCACAACTCACCCCATGATAAAAGTACCATTAAGGACATAGACAGCTCAACCTTCCAAAATGAGAACAAAGACCTAATCAAAGTTCATAGTAATGGGAAAGTCTCTGAATTGCTAACCTTTCTTTTTGGCTTCTGTAGTTGTGTTTCTGGCT